AGATCTTGAAATTTTTTGGGTGGCTATTTAGGGTTTTGATCTTGAATAATATTTTTTTGGTGGCGGTTTGGGTTTTCTGGGAGGTGAGGTTGTGGATGTCGAAGAAAGAGGGAGACATAAAGAGGAGGGGGCGGGTGAAGGGTGGGTGGTGCTGATGTTTGTGAAGAGAGAGAAGGGGGAAGAGAGAAGAGAAATGGAGACATACTTTGTAGAGAACAAAAGGAAGAAAAACAAAAAAGAAGATCAAAACCCTAAAGCCTAAGGCGACGATAGAGAGAGGGAGTTGGGAGGAGGTGCGTCGGGGGTGGGGCTGATTGGCCTGGGCAGAAACATCGGGTAGAGGAGGAGGGTTTTTTTCATCTTTTTTCCAAAAAAAATAAATTTTTATTTTATTTTAATGATTTAATAGAAAATTGGATGAAATGTTGAGGATGTAGATGGTAGGGGAGAAATTAGCGAAAATAAAAAGTTTATATTCTTAATTTTCTTAAAAAAAAGATAAGGGGTAAATCGAAAGTTAAGTATAAATTCAGGGGCAAATCAAGAGTTAACCCATTTCCCTTTAATTTTGAGTAAAATACAATTTCACACCAAGACAGCCCACAAACGGTGCGTTTTACAACTGGAAAAACGACCACAAAACCAAACCACGTATAACCTTAGATAAGGCACTTATTATTTTACTCTCTGGCTTTGGATAGCCATGGCTGAAGCTTCAAGAGTTCTGCAGACCACTCTCATTCCCAGCTTCCATCCACAACACAAAAGTCCCATATTTCAGTCACTCCCATTGAATTTCCGCAGAAATCCAATTCAGTGCACAGTCTCCACAAGTAACAGCACCAAAGCCACAGTGCCCCAGAAAATCCCATGGGGCTGTGAAAGTGATTCTTTGGAAAACGCTTCTGCCCTGCAGAAATGGCTGACTGACTCGGGCCTTCCACCCCAGAAAATGGCCCTGCAAAAAGTGGAAATTGGGGAGAGAGGACTGGTTGCTTTGAAGAATATAAGGAAGGGGGAGAAGCTGCTCTTTGTGCCTCCCTCTCTGTTTATCACTGCAGACTCAGTAAGATCTTCTCTGGAAAATTTTCTGAAAGTTACTCAAATGCCCTTTTCTTTATTTCACTTTCATAAAATGATTTGGCTGCCAGTGATTATGTATTGGACACTAATGCTTTTCTCTATCTATGATGTTTGTTGTGCTTGTCTTGTTTTAAATGTTAGGAGTGGACTTGTGGGGAGGCTGGTAAGGTGTTGAAGCAAAATGGTGTGCCTGACTGGCCATTTCTTGCAACCTATCTGATTAGTGAAGCAAGTTCCCTTGAATCTTCTAGATGGAGCAACTATATTTCTGCCTTACCAAGACAGCCTTATTCACTTCTGTATTGGTAAGCATTAAGAATCTATTTTCCATGATTTGTTCCAATGGTGGAATTTTCATGAGTCTATCATTTATTATGGGAAGAGTCTACTCTCAGGCTTTTTCTACAGCCTTTATATATCATTTCAGGACTCGCGAAGAACTTGATCGGTATTTGGAAGCATCACAAATTAGACAACGGGCAATTGAAAGAGTTACTAATGTTGTTGGAACGTATGGCCTTGTATTTTCTATTATAATTTTCTTCAAAGCTTTGTTGTTCCGTCATTTGTAACTTTTGGCATTTTCAATTCTCAACTTAATGTTGTGGTGAGTTCATGATCTAATAATTGCTGAACTGACTATTTATTCCTATCTTTGGCGCAGATACAATGATTTAAGCCTTAGAATATTCTCCAAGTATCCTGCTTTATTTCCTGAAGAGGTATTAAACTTATATAGGCCAGTTGCATATATATACACACATACGTATACATGTTGCTGGAACAACCTCCTACTACCACTCTTCCTTGATTCTGTCATAACTAGTGGAGAGCTTTTTAACATTGCTCAATTCAAGAGCCAGATCAGTTTTCGATCAATGATCTGCATACAGTTATCTGGATTCTGTAAATTTACTCATACTTTTTTATCTCCATTTCACATAGTGTAACTATCCTTCATTTTGAGCGTAATGTGCACATTCTAAACTTCAATGCATGTATGCTTTGCTACTGTTGGACTTTAACCACATGTCATCTTTGATTTTGCCCCATGTGTGATTATTTGACTCTCTCCTTGTATTATAAACAGGTATTCAACATAGAAACCTTCAAATGGTCATTTGGAATTCTTTTCTCACGCTTGGTAAGTGAAGTACTTTGTTTATAATGACAATGCCATGCTAAATTTGTTTCTGAATCTACAGAATGGTGTCAAATTGTACCAGTTGTTTGACCTTGTGAAGAGAATGGTTGTTAAAGTACATTGTGATGTGATATGATGCCATCATCAATAACATGTGGGAAAGGAAGAAACTATGACATGAAGTAGGCATACCTCAAATGTTTGTTTAGAATTATTGACTTGATCTGCCTGTGTTGTCCAAGCACCATCTCTCAGAAATTCTATATCTTCTTTTTTCCTTGGTACTGTCTCACATTTTATCTTTTTGTGCTGTATCAGCTGGTACTGAAATAACACGTTGCTTGAAATTTGATATTGGATATTTCCTCTAAAAGGCAACATTGTTTTGTAAAACATGTGACCTCAACGTCTTTTTTCTCATAAGCACAGGTTCGGTTACCCTCGTTGGGTGGAAAGGTTGCCTTGGTTCCTTGGGCAGATATGCTGAACCATAGCTGTGAGGTTTGTCTGAGTCTCTTTCAGTAAACATGATCCGAAGTATTACCTTCACAAATCTTACTCACTATGTGCATCTTAATTTGACTGGTGTAGGTAGACGCATTTTTGGATTACGATAAATCATCACAGGGAGTTGTCTTTTCAACAGATGGGTCATATGAGCCAGGTGAGCAGGTAAACAATGGCCTTTTTTCACAACTGTAGGTATAAATCAATTATTGAAGTTGCAAAGACATACCCAAAAAATAAATAATTGAAAAGCATTAATTCAATGTCTTTTTAGGTTAATCATTACTTAGTTACGTGTTTAATCATCAACACCTCTAGTGATTCCTTTTCATCACTTAATGCAGGTTTTTATTTCCTATGGCAAGAAATCTAATGGAGAGCTACTGTTATCCTATGGGTTTGTCCCAAGGGAGGGCACCAACCCTAGAGATTCTGTTGAGTTGTCACTTTCCATTTCAAAATCTGACAAATGTTATAGGGAGAAGTTGGAAGCTTTGAGAAAGCATGGACTATCAGCGTGAGTACCTGATAGCTCTAACAGATCATATTTTTAGTCTTTAGTCATTTTTAAGCTCTCTTTTGCACCTCATACGAACATGGTCAATTTTTTGGCGGTCGGTGTGAAGTATACTTGCTAGTCACCAAACTGTATTTTTCTCCAAGCAGATCTCAATGTTATCCTATACAAGTCACTGGTTGGCCATTGGAGCTAATGGCATATGCTTATTTAGCCGTCAGTCCTCCAAGTATGAGTGGACAATTTGAAGAGGTGTGATAGTTTAGCTTCCTAGTTTTAATCAAATCTTCAATATTGTAGAACCTATCTGAAAGATTGTATTTTAGATGGCTGCTGCAGCATCCAACAAATCTACCACCAAGAAGGATTTAAGATACAGTGAAATAGAGGAAGAAGCGCTTCAGTTCATATTGGACAGTTGTGAAGTTAGCATATCAAAGTATAACAAATTCTTACAGGTGAGCCAATAATTTATAAGAAAATTCTACATCTTTCAATAACAACACAACTCTATGCACTCTAGATAGGATGGAGCTAAGAACCTTGAACATTTAAGTCACAATCGATTTATGCTGACAGGCAAGTGGATCAATGGATTTGGATGTGACATCTCCGAAGCAACTAAACCGAAGGTTGTTTCTGAAACAGCTAGCAGTAGACTTGTCTACCAGTGAACGGAGAATCCTATTTCGTGCTCAATACGTAAGAAAAATGATCTTTCGATTCTATAGATTGATTATTCTAACCAGAGCATGAAGCATGCTGCATTTGGTACATAGAAGTCTATAAACACTGTGCATGTAGTTCCTGAGGTTTCATGAGAGTAGGAACTTAAAAAATCGAACTTTACTTGTTTTTTGCATGTATTTGGTGAGACATATGCTTTGCTGTTGTGCTTTATAATGTCTTTATTTATGTTGCTGATATGCATGGTTTCAGATACTGAGAAGGAGATTGAGGGATATGAGAAGAGGTGAACTGAGAGCTCTAACAATCTTCAACGGGTTCAGGAAGTTTTTCAAGTGACAAGAGTTTCAAGTATGATGTGATGTAAACCTGCGCTTACAGTTCTAAGCCATTTTTCTGATGAGCTTATAGCTCAATTTTACATCCTGGCTTCCTATGTGACTTTAGGCAAGTCAATTGAGTTTTATCAACACAACCATCGTTTGGAAGGAGTTCATGGTCAAAAGGATGCATGCTATTTACATGCAGTATCAAAGGGGAACAAGAAAGCTATGACCTTGAGTTTTCTGGTTTATTAAATAGATAATTACATCTGGTGTGTATAAAGTCTCCTAACAGGTCTCAAAGTCTATCTGCTGTTGATTAAATAGTAATACAATGATAATACAGAGGAAATAATGATCAAGATAAGCTACGTTTATCAATCTTTTCACTTCACCAACAAAGAAAAAAAAAAAACTTTCTCCTATTTTATTTTGTTTTAATTCAGTAAGCCAAATAAAATGAATACAAAAATTTAATCCTCCAATAGAAGGAAAGTAATGCATATCATATGTGTGTCATTGGCCGAGGCAGTATGCATGCCCCCTTGCATCCGAGTTCGATGTCCCTTCCCTTCCAGTGCATTAGATTAGTTATAATATTCTTTTGACAGAAGAAAATAGAAGGAAATGATCGGCCAAATAAGAAAAATAAAGAAACGGAAAAATGGATATAGAAAATTCACCCTAAATAGAAGAATCCCAAATCACAATCAACCAATTCCTAACCCAAGTCATAAATGCTAATCAAAGGACAAAGCTTTCCTAATTAACCAGGAAATATGTTTTTTTACCCACTGCCACAGCCACAGCCACAGTATCAGCCTCGGTCTCAGCGCCAAAAACCCAAAGGCCCAAAAGACGCACAGCCGAGAGTCCCTTTCTTGTTTGTCTGCAAATCCTTATTGAATAATGGAGGGTTTGGCTTCGTTCCGGGCTGTCCCTTCTTTTACTTCCAGACCCAGAAGCTCCATTCTCGGCACAGCTTTGAACCCGCGTAGAGGGAACTCGCTCTCTCTTCCATCTTCGTCTTCCTCCAATGTTCGAGCTCAACAGGTTCTTAATTTTTAAATTTCTTAGTTTATTTGCAGATGTTCGTGTTTACAATGCAATACATTGAATTGATATTTTGAATTTTCGTTGAATTTGTTTGTTTGTTCTTAGACGGAGTCTAAGGATGACGAACCTGAGCCTGTGAAAATTGAGCTGAAAATCAAGGAATGGGAGAATAGCATGTACCACAATGAAGTAGCTGCGAGCCAAGGCATCCGAATCAGAAGGAGACCACCAACTGGACCCCCTTTGCACTATGTTGGGCCCTTTGAGTTTCGCTTGCAGAATGAGGGCAATACTCCACGAAATATTTTGGAGGAAATCATTTGGCACAAAGACACTCAAGTTGCACAGGTAAATTCATCAACTTTATGTTTTTGATGAATTGGGTTGTCAGAAAAACTTAAAACCCAAGAAAATGGAGGATTTAAAGATCCTATTGGAAAAAAAGCAGAGTAATTTAGTCAAATTTTGTTATTGGATGTGTTGTTAATTTGAATATTGCTAATGATATTCATGATTTGACTGCTGGCTTCAGTTAAAGGAGAGGCAACCTCTATATTCTTTGAAGAAAGCTCTTGATAATGCTCCTCCTGTTAGGGATTTTGTTGGAGCTCTTAGAGCAGCAAATTCACGAACTGGACTGCCTGGTTTAATAGCTGAAGTGAAGAAGGCTTCTCCAAGTAGAGGAGTCCTGAGAGAAAATTTTGATCCGGTAAGTCTACGTCGCTTTATTGTGATTCATGCGCTTGGAAGTTTGTTTCTATTCCTGTCCTGGTGGTACCAGATTCAGTATGCTGAAATAATGAATTCATGCTCATCAGAATAGAGGTGGTGTTACCATTGGAAATGAAATGGAAGCATCACTTGCCACTTTCCAAACCTTGTTCTGTGATACCGATCAGGATATATTTTTCATCCTCCTAGTCCAATGCCTTCCTCATATGGTTGGAATGGGACAAATGCATTATATATGTAAGCTTGTATGCAGGGACGGAGCCAGAAATTTTCTTTAGTGGGAGCGACTTTGAACTATATAATAAGATTTAAAAAAAGTAATGCTAAAAGGGCTGCATTCTTTTACCAGTGATCACGTTATGTAACAGTTCGCATCTGCTTGTTACATCAATTATTATGCCAGTTATTAACAATAAAATTAACATTTTTATACCAGTGATAATTTATAACTAAACCAATGATAAGATTACATAACAATAAGTGTAGTGTAGAGTATTGGCAGTGCTTGTGTGCTGTGTCTTTTCTACACACTAATACAATCATATCTTTTGGGAAAATAAAACTTGAGTTGGGGTAGCCACCCCCAATGGGCATTAGCTGCCTATGTTGTTTTTGTATATATGTATGATAAAATCATTCTCTCCCCCAAATCTTCTCATTAGTTCATATTCTTCTAATAATTTCTCATGATAGGTGGAAATTGCCCAAGCTTATGAAAAAGGGGGAGCTGCTTGTCTTAGTGTTTTGGCAGATGAAAAGTTTTTTCAGGTGAACAAATCAGTCTGTTTTGATACTCCTACAAGGCTAATTGATTTTATTTGGAAGTCATGATATTTAAAAGTAAAACTATTAGCCATTTCTCACTTGCTTTCGGTTAATCAATATAGGGAAGCTATGACAATATGATGGCAATAAGAGATGCTGGAGTAAAGGTTTGTTCCATAAGCAATGTTCCTCAGTTCCTAGTATTGTTCACGTGCTAGGATTTACTATTGGTATAAGTTATTCTTTTAACACTAGCAAAATATGCAGTGCCCTTTGTTGTGCAAAGAATTTATCATTGAGGCTTGGCAAATCTATTATGCTCGATCCAAAGGTGCAGATGCAATTCTTTTGATTGCTGCTGTTTTGCCTGACCTTGACATCAAATACATGACAAAGATCTGCAAGATGCTTGGCATGGCCACCCTTGTTGAGGTTTGAGTTGTACTTTCATCATTTGTACTTTTTTATACTTTATTTTTTGTGAGTGGAAATGTTGTGAGGTTTCAAGTGGGAAAGATGTCCTTGTCTGTATGAGTTACTATTCTTGAATTTCTGTCCTATTCTGGGCTACTTTCATATGCAGAGTCATGCTTCAGTTACAACATCGTCAATGAAATCTAATCCCCAAAACATCTACTATGTTACATTGTTGCAGGTGCATGATGAGAGGGAAATGGACCGTGTTCTTGGCATTGAGGAGGTTGAGTTTATAGGCATCAACAACCGCAATCTGGGTAAAATTTCCTAAGTTCTTTGAATTGGCATATGCTAGGAAACTTCTATTTCCTCGTACTTTATAATTTGGCTGTTTGCTAATCATATCATCTTTATGTATATATTTTGAATGACCAATGTTACCAATATCTATAAAGATAACTAGCATTTTGAAGCAACATGTGAGAGCTTTTCTAAAGTCTTCAGAAACGTACTTCCAGTTTGAATTTTGTGTGCAATATGATAAGCTTAGTTTTGCTTGCCTGCAGAGACATTTGAGGTTGATATTAGTAACACAAAGAAGCTTCTTGAAGGAAAGCGTGGCGAAGAGATCCGTAAAAGAGACATAATTGTGGTAGGAGAATCCGGGCTATTCACTCCTGATGATATTGCCTATGTACAAGAAGCTGGTGTTAAAGCGGTTTTGGTAGGAGAGTCGATTGTGAAACAAAGTGACCCTGAGAAGGGAGTAGCTGGACTTTTTGGTAAAGACATTTCTTTAAAGTCAGTTTAGGGAGATTCCACCGAACTTGTTCAAACGAGAGACATTTCCTTACTCTCTGCATCCAATCTACATAGAAGAGTAAAGTGGAATAAGTTGTATGCATCAACTGCCTGTGAACTGTGATAGTGAGAGTTTTTGTAACTCAATTTCGTTTTTGTTGCTCGGAAGGATTTTTGTAATTCAATTCTAATTGAGTGACAATTTCAGATAACATTTACACCCCAAAAGATATTTCTGGTAAAAAGTGTGTTTTATAGGAAAAAGAATAAATGAGGGAATAACTGAAACAAGTGAAAAAGAAAAAAAAGTTTTTCTATTTTATTTGGTTCGCTCAAGTTATGGGATTCTTAGGTCTCTCGTCCCACCCAAAGAAACTTGACTCACTTAAATGTCACTGGACTTAAATGACACTAGAAACTGGTAGACCTGTCGGCAGAAAAACGTAGCTTCATGTTTGTTCGAGTAACAGCAATAAGATTCCTTCAATTTTGCTTATCTCTTTGCATTCAATGACTGACATATGTGAGTTTAGTATGCTATCGCCCCTTTCAATAGAAAAGGTCCTAAAAAAATAAAAAATAATAAAAAAGACTGACATGTGAATTTCACCAACTTTTAAAAAATATAGAAAAGATAACCATTTTTTATCTTTACAGTTTCCTCTTTTATATTTTTTTTTTACTCCAACAAAAAAAATAACGTCTTTCTCTCTTTATCTTTACACCTTCTCCGCTTTATCTTTTTCATTTAATGAGTAACATGTGCACCCACTAACTTCTTGAATGAAAAACAAAATGTCACATTTTCAGCTCTTTATCTTTACACATTCCCCTGTTTACCTTTTTTTTAATCAAGAGTGTTGAAAGTATCCCCAATCTCCTCTTCATTCTGCCTCCAAACCCCATTGACATAAAAAAAAAAACACACAATTAATTTGATTTCATCCACCTCATTGCCTCGCATAATTGTGGAAGTAACGTGTGTTACAATCACCTTTCTGCAGCCAAGACACTTGAGATCATTGCCGCCAAAGAGTTTCCTCCTTCAATAAAAGGCAATTATTATCACGTTGCAACAAAGACTTTTGTTGGATGATATGTTCAGAAGGAAATAATTGATGTAGTTTGGTGAGTTGACTTTGAAGCCTTTGCAATTTTTCTGGCACATGCCCAAAATTGGATTTACTCCACACAGTTGAAATTGATTCTGCGCAATCTTCTTCTTCTATCCACATCTCCTAAAAAAAGAAATGTTTTTTCCGAACCCATCTCCTTTGAGAGTTGTTGTCATTCACAACTAACAAAGGAAGATGATCAGACTCCAAGTAATCCAAATTATAAGTGATCATATTGGCACAAGCTTGCCATAATCCCTTATTTGCCACAGCACGATCAAGTTGGGCTTTAACATTCTCAACTCCAGCTCTACCATTATCCCAAGTGAACTTGTAAGCCTTGAATGGAATAGCCCACAAATCACAGTCCTCCAAAGCATGTCGAAAGTCCACCATTTGAGACAAAGCTTTGAATCGACGACCAAGCTGCTCTTTATCTTCCAAAATTTCATTAAAATCACCACACCAAACCAAGGACCCGACTCCACCTGAGATTGACGTCGAAGAAGCTCCCAAGAATGGTGCCGCTGATTCGTCACATGATTTCTATAAAAACCTGTCACTCTACAAGAAAAACCTTCTAGAGCCTTCACAATAGCATGGATATGAGCCAAAGTGTGAGATAAGATAGTTATTGTCCAGTTTTTATTCAAAAGAAGGGCTAAATTTCCACCTAACCTGCACCTGTTCACACTAAAGCAATAATCCATATCAAGTCTCTTTCGTACCCCTTCCATCTGATACACATTAATTTTGGTTTCTAACAAGAAAACCAAATTGGGTCGCTTTACTTTGAGGATTTCTTGAAGAGCACAGAATGTCCGTTGGTTCCCAAGCCCCCGAACATTCCAACTCAATAGTATCATGACTCGTGGTGGGCCAGACCACCTAAGCCCACCACGGATCAAGAACTTTGTGACTTCGTGATTTTTTCTGGAACCACTTTGGACCACTTATATTTCTTTGAGCCATATTGTTGTGCCTTTCCCTTCTTTTCGAAGACTCACGTGCTCCCTGGACTTGGAATGAGGAAGCTCAACTTGAAATATTTTTTTTAGCTGGATCACGGGCCCGTCTCTTCCATTTAGTCACAGAGATTGGGCCTAAGGAGTCAGACTCAACAGGTGTTGCTCCAGGATTCAGCCCATGACTACCAACCACAGAACTTCCATATGAATTAATTGTGTTCAATTGTGATACGAAAACACCAACAAACTTGCCATTTAATTTTCCAATCATACCCGCATAATTGACGTTGGAAATTGAATCATCAGGAAACTGAACAGGCATAACGTCTGCACAATCCCTAATAATTCACTCATTAACTCGCAAAATTGTCTTTAGTGTGGAAGAGGCAAAGTCGCTTGTTTCATGGTTTCAGTAAACGTTCATACTGCAGTCTTACTTCTATTAGACACTTCTCAGGAAGTCAAATTTTTAACATCCGTCTTAAAGCCTTGGTGACATCCAAACGAACTCTAATGCATAAAAAAGAACCCACGCAAAGTCCAGTACGACTTTGTTCAATTTCAATATAACCACCTAACGATCGACCAATCAGCTCTCCAACAACTGGATTCATGTAGAGAACAGGTAAATCATGGGCTTGGACCTAGAAGTCTTGAGTTGTGAGAGGAACCGTTGTCGGATTATAGAGGCCATCGTAGTCTACTAGCAGCAATAAAGCCTTATCAAAGTCCAAGGACTTCCATGGAGAACTTATCGTTTATTAGATTTACATGAAAAAGTAAAAAGGAAACGATTGGCATCTACATTCGAGATGGATACACTGTCATTCAGACACCATATTTTCTTCATGGTTCCAATAAACACTGCCTTGTTAACATTCTCAGTAAGCAATTTTCCTACCAAAAAGTACAAATAATCAGAAGCCGTTCCATCAAACAAACTCCCTCCAACATCCAATTCTATTTCTTCTTCTTCAGTTAGCGCATAATTAGTGGAAAAATGGTTAAGAACCTCTTCCATGATTGCTGTCAGCAAATAGGAAAAAAAAAAAGAAAAAAAAAAAGAAAAAAGGACTCTCAGAAGACTTCCTGACCTATCAAAATTTCACTCTAGGTTTGAAAACTATAACAGTATTCAGCTTTGGCTAGCTAAACTCTCACAAGAGGAGCTCATTTTGCTCAGTTAATTGAAGCTATTCCTTCTTATATGCTAATGATGCTATGAATGATATGCTTGTTAGTGAATTTACACGTGCATAGTTAGAAGCTACTCTTGCTCAAATGTTTCCTACAAAAGCACCAGGCCCTGATGGTATGCCAGCACTTATTTTTCTAGAAATATTGGCATATTATAGGTGACAGAATCACTTCTACATGCTTACAAGTTCTAAATGGTAGTGGGAGTGTCAAACAGTTTAACCACACTTTAATTGCCCTTATCCCGAAGATTTCTTATCCTTCTCATGTGTCAGATTATAGGCCAATCAGTTTGTGTAATGTTCTTTATAAATTGGTGGCCAAGACTCTTGCCAATTGACTCAAGGTGGTGTTGCTTCATGTTATTTCAAATTTTTAGAGTTTGTGCCTAATAATCTTATCACGACAACATTATTGCTGCTTTTGAGACAATCCATGCCATTAAGAGAAGAGGGAGAAGGGGAAGGAAGAAGATTGCTTTAAAATTAGATATGTCAAAAGCTTATGACCGAGTTGAATGGAATTATCTTGCTACTGTGATGGCTAGAATGGGTTTTCATGCTAGATGGGTCTCTATGATTTTGGATTGTATTTCGTCAGTATCCTACTCGGTTTTATGCAATGGTTCCCCATTTGGTCATATTGTTCCTTAATGTGGTCTTTGCCAAGGTGATCCGCTCTGGCCATATTTGTTTCTTATTTGTGCCGAAGGTTTCTCAGCACTTATAAGGAGGGCACAATTGATGGGTTCGATTCATGGAGTGGCTATAGCTAGGGGAGCACCTTCTATAACTCGCTTTTTGCCAACGATAGTTTATTATTTTGTGATGCTAACATGTATGAATGTCAAAATTTGAAACACATTTTTGACATTTATAAGAAGTCCTTAGGGCAAAAAATTAATTTTGCTAATGACCAGCAAGCTATCTCATCTCTACTAGGAGTTCCTGCAGTGATTTGTCATGAGCGTTATTTGGGACTCCCTACCATAACTGGAAGGAGTAGGAGGGTGTTGTTTCGTGGTATAAGGGATAAGGTCTGGAAGTGTCTTCAATCTTGGCAAGGAAAATTGCTTTCTACTACTACCAAGGAAATTCTTATTAAGGCCGTTGCTTAAGCTGTTCCAACTTATTTCAGGAGTGTTTTTTGTTTTCCTGTCAGTGTCTGGAAAGATCTTAATTCTTTGGTTGCAAAATATTGGTGGAGTAAAGGAAATAAAAGAGGGATCTATTGGAAAAAATGGCAAAACATCTGTATGCACAAGGTGGATGGTGGCCTTGGTTTCAAGGATTTTGAATGCTTCAATCAAGCTATGGTATGTAAACAGGCTTGGCGGCTGCTCCAAACCCAGGATTCCATTGTTTTTCTTATGCTTAAGGTGCGTTACTTCCCTAACTTAGATTTCATGCATGCTACTCTTGGTTTAGCTCCTTCTTTTGTTTGGGTTTTATTTTGTGGGGAAGTGATTTATTAGATGCAGGCCTTTATTGGCGTGTGGGTAATGGTTAGATTATTTATGTTTACAAGGATAAATGGATACCCAGACCGTCTACTTTTAAACTATATTCACCTTCTTCTCTGCCAGCGGGTTCTAAGGTTTGTGAATTTATTTCCTCCCCTCCTGCTTGGAATTAGTCTTTTACAGTTGTGTTTTTTTTTTCCAGAGGAGGTGGAGTTAATTCGAAGCATCCCTTTGAGTTGCAATCCACTTACAGATCAGCAGATTTGGTTATTTACTAAAAATAGAAAATAATATGTTCGATCTGGTTATCAAGTTGTTGTGCAGAAGAAAACTAGTGATATTAATAGTGGTGTTGGTGGTTCCAATGGTGTTCAAATGATATTGTATTGGAAATTGATTTGGAGCCTCCATATTCCAAATAAAATTAAGCATTTCTTGTGGCGTGCCACTCATGATATCCTTCCCACTTGTGTCAATTTAGTGAGCAGGAAAGTAATCCCAAAAGGTATTTGTTTTCATTGAGCAGTGGCATATGTTAAGCTTACATTGGTTAAATGTTGTGGAAAGCTAGAAATGATAATCTTCATGGTCAAGGTGTGCATAATCCTACCTATCTTCTTGAGAGGAGTTTTGAGCTTTATGAGGAATCTCATAAATTAAAAGAACAACCACGTGCTTGTAGGGTTAATCAGAATGAGATTTGGAGTTGTCCCCTGAAGGTTTCTATAAGCTCAATGTTGATGGAGTTACTGACAACACAACAGGCTTGCATAGTAAAGGTGTAGTTGTTCGTAATGATTCTGGAGTTTTTTATGGGTGCCCTAGCCGCAAAGCCCTCGCGGGGTTTCCATTCTAGCTACAGAATTGCAAGCGATCTATAGAGGAGTTTTATTTGCTGTAGGTGGTAGTTTTTTCCCTCTTCTTATAGAACCTGACTCTTCTGAGGCTGTTATAATGATTAATTCAGGGGAGACTATTTGGGCTACTGTCGGCAACATTGTGGATGATGTGAGTGACCTACTCATGCAGTTTTCTTTAAAGGAAGTCCAAGTTCGACCTAGGGAGTCAAATTATTGGTTAGAAGAAGACCTTGTGTGGCTAATGAATTGTATTCTTGATGGCCTCATTGTAACCAATGCTTCCAGTTAATGAAATTTATTTCTTTTCGATCAATTTTTTTTTTTTTTAATGAGTGATATGTGTACTCTACTAACTTCGTGAAAATACAAACACGATAATGTTTTCCTCTCTTTATCTTTACACTTTCCCCCTTTACCTTTTTCATTTAATGAGTGGCATGTGCACTCTATTAACTTCTAAATTAAAAATAATAATAACATTGTCCTCTCTTTATCTTTTCATCTTCCCCTTTTAATTTGTTTATTTTCCATTTAATAAGTGACATGCGTACTCTACTAACTTCTTGAAAATATAATGAAAATAACATATTCCTCTCTTTATCTTTTCATCTTCCCCTTTTAATTTTTCTTTATTATTCAATGAGTGACATGTGCACTTCACTAACTTTTAGGAAATATAAAAAGATAGGTTTTTTTTTAATCACAAAATGTACCTAAGGTTCACGAAATTATCATGTTTCTTCCTTTATGTTTTTGTGTCAATAGTGGTCCTTAAAGTTAACACTCGTGCTCACAAGTAGCTTCCTTCAAAAAGTCCGTTAGTTTGCTTACATGGCACATATATGGACCCCACATTTCTAATAAAATAAAGATGTGAAGTGGTAAAGATAAGGTGAAGTTGGAGTACACATATCACTCAATGAATGAAAAAGAAAAAGAGGTGAAGTTGTAAAGATAATGTGTCATCTTCTTTATATTTTAAAAAAGTTAGTGGAGTTCACATGTCATGTCACTCATTGAATGAAAAAGATCTTCATCTTTACAATTTCTCATTTTTATCTTTTTCATTGAATGAGTGACATGTGTACTGCACTAACTTTTTGAAAATATCAAGAAGATAACACTTTGTCTTTACAACTACACCTTGTCTTTACAACTTCACCTCGTTTTCTTTTCCACTTAATGAGTGGCATGTGTACTAAACTAACTTTAAAAAAAAAATATACTTTTAATTCTTGAAATTAGAAACACATGTTTCGAAATTTTCCCCTTACATAGGTATAATATAATAATAATTTAGGAAGTAAATTCTATCCCAAGTGGTGATAGTGGTTTTTGAAATCAACTTCCAATCAAAATCCCTATTAACTAATTTAAAATGGTCATTAGTGCATAATTTTCTAGCCAAAAGTTATACTTATTTGCTTCTTCATTATTTCTCTCCTCTCAATTCTCCAATTATAATTTCATATTTATTATTTTCATCACGTGTAATTAATCCACCATTATAACACGTGAATTAATAATAACGTTTTAACTTATAACATTCACACATATTCTCATTACGTAGATATCATAACACTCTCTCATCTTCTTCTCTTCCCTTCATATCAACGCATATAAAACTTGTTCTAATTAGAAAATAGCGAGACTTTGGCAATTATTTTGGATCTTGTCAAGGGCGCGCATTTTCTTTTGTAACTTTTGTTGATTGAACCCAACATAGAAAACGAATAAAAAAGTTTACAGTATTTCTGGACTGATACAGAATTCGTACAAGCTGATAACTGATGGTAGGGGTAACCTGAAAATGGAAACGTTTTTTTTATTATTATTTTGTGTGTGTCTTTTTGTCTTTCTCTAATCTAGAATGTTCTTTTTTATTTCATTTTTGCCATTGTTTCTCTTTTAAAAGCAGAACCCGTAAAAGATGGGTTTGGTGGAAGGCCATGGGCAGTTAGTATTATCAAATCATTTTTCTGGTGGTGGTGGTGGAAGGAGTGGGTGTGATGGGGTTGGAGTTCAGGTCGCAGCTGGACGACGCGTGGTACGACGCCCGGATAGTAATGGACGGCTACGATCGCCTGAGGGTGAAGTTCATCGGCTTCCCCGACGACCACGACGAGGTTTTCGACGCCAATAACTTGACTTCCTTCAAAGATATCGCCGAGTTCAGGCGCCGGTTCAGGCCGGTGTCCGTACAGGTTCAGGATAATGAGTGCCCGCAGGTAGCGAAGGGCACGCTCGTCTGTGTCGCCCACGCAATCTGTCCCGACGACCGCCGCTTCTACGATGCCGTCGTCTACAAGGTCAGTTTTCCCCCCTCTCTCCCCTCCCTACCTTTCTCTCTCTCCCCATCTCTCTCTCTCTCTGGCCATTTCCGTTTATAGAAGGGGGGCTTGTCGCTGTACTAGGGGAGGGACCAAGGCCCTTTTTGAATACATGATTAATCCCCTCAACATATTTTCAAAATACTTCTCCTCACAGAGATATTTTCAAATTTTTTTGAAATACTAGTTTATTTAGGAGGGTGTATTCAATTAAGATTTTAATGGATTAATTTGAAGCTGAAAAGTACAGTAGTATTTAATTAGGATTTTTAAGTAAACAATAAAAGTCTGGTGGTATTCAATTAGGATTTTTAAATAATCAATACAAGTCCGGTGGTATTCAATTAGGACTTTTAATAGATAAGAAAAAGTACTGTGGTATTCAAAAACTTACTGATTTTAATGTATTTCATTAAATGGTGTATTGTGTGAGACTTTTGAGTGTGTGATATATATACCAAATCACATAACAAATCACACCCTCCTATGCATGATTCTCATATATGCTCTCATACTTTTTCTTCCCCATTATTTTTTCATGCCTTTTATTGTATTAAAAAAAAAAATTCATAAGAGAGACGATAAAGGGTCCACATCACAGCACAGTCCCCCTTTTTCCTCCTTTCCCTCCACCTCTTTTTTTTCTTCTAATTTTTTCTTTCTTTCCTCCTTCCTCCCCTGACCCCTCTTTCTCCTTCGCACTCTCCTCTCTCCCTCAGTGTTTAGTAAACAACCACCAATTTTAGATGATGAAAGTTGCAAACCAATTTTGTAAAAGCTCTTCCGTTGGTTATTCAAATGGGAATATCCAGGTAAAACGAAGGTCTTTATCTATTGAACAAAGCGCTACTACATTCAAATTATGTGTAACGGCATGGATCATTAAATATCATATTATGTATTACAACATCATGTTATATCTACAACTTTAATATTTTAATTGCTATATAAAATTACTTCAATGTCATTAGAACATTTTATTGTCACTTATTGAGTTATTTTGAAATATTTTCTATGAATTCAGTTTTGGTTTCAGTTTAACAAATTTTGTCTTCAATGGGTGTATTGTTTTTGTCAATTAATAACATTTTTATAATATTATAAATATTATGTTGCAAAATGGGCAGAAAGGTTTATGAGATTTTATTGGTTAATGTGGTGAGCAAAAATACTCCCATAGAAATAAAATCCTGTAATTGTAATCTAGTAAAATCATAAGTGAATAAAATCATAAGTAAAATCATGTAATTGCAATCTATTAAAATCATAAGCAAAATCATATAATTACAAATCCGGTTGAAATCCATTACATTAAAATCATGTAATTACAATCTGTTAAAATCTTAATTGAATACACCCCCCTTAGTGTATCTCTTTTTTATGTTGGACAATTTGCCACTTGGTGGCAGTCAATGGTGGACCCAAGAATTTTTCTAGAGTAGGCTAAAATTTTTATTGGGAGATCTTTTATATAACCAGGAATTTTGGGCTAGTTAACATTCGACAAGAGGAATGCTAGCTACCTTCTTCATTTCCATTATGACACTCGTATTCCATTCACTCATAAATCTATGTATTTAATGTGTTCAAAAACCCTTTATTCTCTTTACAAGTATGAATCACAACGTTCACGCGGTTTTATAAATGGGCTCTTTTCGAGTCCATTTGTGTCAATGGTGAAGGATGGTGAGGTATAGTGAAATTAATTGACAATGTGAGGTTGGTATAGGCCAAAAAGCACTTCTATGGAGAATCACTTTAAGTGGTTTTAAGTGATTTTATGGAGAAGCACCTCCCTAAAATCACTTACAATCACTTAAAGTGATTATATAGAGAAGCATGTGAAAGGTGGTTATCCCTAGAAGTGATTCTGGCTTATCTAGAATAACTCCCAAACGAGCCCTTATAAATGCTTTTGCTGCAAGTACTTTTGTTAGAAGCACAACAAAATTTTCATTAGAACATGTGCTTCTCCAAGAAGTACTAAAAAGTTGTTTTGTAATCCAGAATCACTTTTAAGTTTGTCTTTCCAAACATTGGAAGAAGTGCTTTTGGTTCTAGCTTTTCTAAAAGCACTAACAAATGAACATTAAAAGGTACTTTTATTGTGGTTTGGCCTAAGGGCAATGTTTGGAAGTGCAACTTTAGGAAGCACTTCATTAGGTCATTTTTTCTGTAAGTACTAAAAAAGTGTAAAATATTTCGAAAATCAATTTTCTATTGACAGTATTTTTAAGTCTTTAGGTTTTGCACGAGGAACATCGGTTTGTAAAAGGAGAAGAAGAATGCCCATGCAGCTTCGTCCTCTTTTGGAGACACGGTCCAAAAGCTGGGTGTTTAACTGTTCAAGCTCTTGAAAACATATGCAGAGTCCAGCCTCGTAGAAACAAAATGAATCCACTTCTGACCTCTTTTCTAGAAACAGCCAGGGAGAAAATTGAAATCACCCTTTCTAAAATTTGTGCAACTCCTCATGAAGCTGCCTATGATGAAAAAGCTTATAGGCCCAGCGTTTCTCAACGTTTAAAGCAGGCAAGTTTTTATATATATATTTTTTATAAGCTTTTACTATTTGTATTTAGTTTCATATATTGGGTTCTGTGTTTTTAAAAACATTCATATACAAAATGTTTTTGTATATAACACATTGATGGGTTAGAGCAACTTTAATGGTTGTATGTAAATTTGGGGAGGTAAAGCCACATTTACATCCCCTTTAAACATTCGGGGGATTTAAATGTGATTTTTTTTCCAATGGAATGAGATGTAACCACAAAGTGAGACCCGCAATTGCCCATCTTTTATTAACTTCTCTCTCATCTCTCTTCTTGCACCACTAAGCGAGCCCCACAAGTTGGGATGCAAAATCAGATGCAATTGTGCATCCTTTTTTGCAACTTACAATGATTATGTATATTACCATCCCTTTACATTTATCAATTGGAGCATTTTCCAGTGAACTTGGATCTAAATTTAGCATGCATCCCCATATATATATATATATATATATAAAACCATTAAAGTTGCTCTTATATCACGTTTTTGTATTCCATTACCATATAATAATTTATAATATTAGAGTTTTCATAAGGTTGCATAAAATAGCATGTAGGTATATTGCACATCAAAATATAAAGTCTCGTGTTGCAATAGACTACCGTGGGTGCCCAAGATTGGATTGGATTGGATTGGATTGGATTGGATAAGGTACTAGATTTGAGGCAAAATGAAGTAAGAAATAAAGGTGGAGGATGCAAATGATTTTTCATTTTGTGGGGATTAGAAAAGATAAGCTATAACGTGTTGATATGCTACCATTTTGTGATGATTAGAAGGGATAAATTTCGTTTATCTTCAACTTTGACAAAATTTGGAAGTTGGCCTCTAATGTTTCCCTTAAAATAAAAGATCCAATTTGATCAAATTCTAGGCATCAAACATGGCTATAATATCTTGTGTCTCACTACTTATTGTCAATTAGTTTTGAGTTGAATGTTTTCTTTTTTGCATGGACCATGGCAGGAAACCCATGTATTAGATTAAAGGATGCACGTGTTATGAGTATATAATGGAATTATATAATATCCTGAGCTTCTACACCCATTGACAATCAATTTTAGATTGCATGCTCTATTTTTAACAAATGGAGTAGAGCAAACATGGTCTAGCCAAGTGGAAAAGGGTCTTGACTTGTAAACCAATGTTCTCTGGTTCGAATCCCCATGACACCCTTATAGTGTGTGTGAGCATCTACAATGGGCTCCCTAAATCACCTCCTTAGACAAATTTTACGGAGGCATTGTAAAAAAGCAACTCCAACCATGCTCCCTATCCATCTCATAAAATAGGGAGTCATCTAGGAGCTCTTAAATCTGAGAAGAGAAAAATGACTCCTAGTGGCTCCCTATAATTTAATGCTGTCTTATTTAATGAGTATTTCAAACCCCCATTACCATATAATAATTTATAATATTAGAGTTTTCATAAGGTTGCATAAAATAGCATGTAGGTATATTGCACATCAAAATATAAAGTCTCGTGTTGCAATAGACTACCGTGGGTGCCCAAGATTGGATTGGATTGGATTGGATTGGATTGGATAAGGTACTAGATTTGAGGCAAAATGAAGTAAGAAATAAAGGTGGAGGATGCAAATGATTTTTCATTTTGTGGGGATTAGAAAAGATAAGCTATAACGTGTTGATATGCTACCATTTTGTGATGATTAGAAGGGATAAATTTCGTTTATCTTCAACTTTGACAAAATTTGGAAGTTGGCCTCTAATGTTTCCCTTAAAATAAAAGATCCAATTTGATCAAATTCTAGGCATCAAACATGGCTATAATATCTTGTGTCTCACTACTTATTGTCAATTAGTTTTGAGTTGAATGTTTTCTTTTTTGCATGGACCATGGCAGGAAACCCATGTATTAGATTAAAGGATGCACGTGTTATGAGTATATAATGGAATTATATAATATCCTGAGCTTCTACACCCATTGACAATCAATTTTAGATTGCATGCTCTATTTTTAACAAATGGAGTAGAGCAAACATGGTCTAGCCAAGTGGAAAAGGGTCTTGACTTGTAAACCAATGTTCTCTGGTTCGAATCCCCATGACACCCTTATAGTGTGTGTGAGCATCTACAATGGGCTCCCTAAATCACCTCCTTAGACAAATTTTACGGAGGCATTGTAAAAAAGCAACTCCAACCATGCTCCCTATCCACCTCATAAAATAGGGAGTCATCTAGGAGCTCTTAAATCTGAGAAGAGAAAAATGACTCCTAGTGGCTCCCTATAATTTAATGCTGTCTTATTTAATGAGTATTTCAAACCCTTATTTAATGCTAACTATTTTTTATTTTATTTTTTAATAGAGATGGACCAATCAAAAAAGAGTTATAGCATTTATGACTCTCCAAATTAGGGAGTATGGTTGGAGTTGAAATTTTTTAGAGAGCTCCTAAAATAGCTTTCTTATATTTTTAGCTAAATTTTAGCTGAGAAATAGAGATCATCATTGCGGATGCTCTAGTTTAGACTATTGCTTGTATTGAAAAAAAACAAAAAAAGTTGGAGTGGAAGAGAGTTTGAGATTTAAGGCCAGTTGTGGGATTGGAGCTACGTAAGGTTGAAAGTCATGAGAAATCCTTGTAATTGTTTACTTGGTAACGTGATTAACCATCCCTCTTCTCCACTCACTCTCTTTCTCGTCTTTAGTTATTATTTGGATTTGTCTAGGACTTTCCACAACTCCATTTTTTATGCCAGTCAGCCTATTTGTAGGATACGAGCACTTCAAGGCGACCCTCAAGCCTTATCTCGTCTCTTAAAGGTTTGTACAAATTGCCCTTAAAACCTTTTCCAAATACATTAGTTTCTTAATCTTTTACCGTTTCCTCAGGGCAGAAATGAATGGAAATCCTTCTCAAAGGGCTGGACATGGCAGTGAGATAGAAGGGGTCCCCCATATGATAATCATTGACAATCTTGAGAGGGGTTTATCACCGTTAAAAATTGTGGAATTTATATATAAAAAAGTTTCAATCTCCTGTGAAGCATTTGTTTCGCCATGATTGTCGTCTTGAGTGGTATACTCGAGGAACCATCCTGGTGGACAGCAAAACGAATGTTGACCTGACTTTCTAGAGGGTCCCGATCACATCATCATCTGCTCAAGTGGAAGGTATCTAATGTAAAATGCCTCTTTTCATGATTGTAGAGGTTAGCTTGAATTGCATTCCCTAAACATTGGGGGTTTAAGTGGTTGTCAAGTTTTGGGGTCTAAGGGTTCATTTGGGGCTGCTTCTATTGAAAGTATTTGTCCTTGTAAGTTCTTATGTTAAAAGCCCTTTTATTAGAAGAACATTAATTTTTTTGTTAAAAATCCAAGTGCTTTCTGAAAAAGCATTTTGGAAGTGCTTCCTAGAAAAGCACTTTGGAGGCGCTTCCTCTAGAAACCGTTTTTATGACCTATAAGCACTTTCAAGTTGTTCTGCCAAATGTAGTCAAACATTTTTAGACAACTAAAAACACTTTTAACTCTTTCAAAAGCACTCCCAAACATACCTTAAGTGATTGTCCAACATGGCATAGAGTCTTCGTTTGCGGGTCATGTGTTGGAAACATCCAATTCCCCTCCAGAAATCTTTGTTGATTTACAAGGTGTAGTATGGGGCTCTGCACGTATATTATTCTTTCTTTTCTAATTTCATTTCCTCTTCATGTGCAAGTGGGGCTACACCCGAGGAAGGGTGTTAATTTGATATGCATTGTTGATCAATTTCTTAACATCTAGCTCTTACGATCCTCTGGTTGTCCTCCATAAATTGTGCAAAGTTGACAATCTTAATATGGTTATTACTCTAATTGATTGGTTCAAACGTGCATCATTTTATAATTTCATGCAGACCTTGGGTGATGACTGAGAAAACACGGGTACATGAGCTATTCATTAAAAACTTCATGCTCATATCTCAGGTTAGTTCCCTATGACCTCGTTTGATTACCATATCATTTTAGTTTGTAGTTTTTACTTGTTTTTGGTTTTTGCTAGGAATAGAGAGAAAGTATGTGGAAAAAATTGTAGAGGGGGGAGGAGAGAGGAATGAAGTAGAATGTATGAAACAAAACCTTGAATAAGAAAACTACTGAAAAATTTAGTTTTCATTTTGTGTGTCATATGAATTTCTTCCCTTCAGTGATCGACCATTTAGGGCTCGTTTGGTGCTTAGGATTGGATATGATATGATTAGGGCCGATCCTGGGTCTTATGAGGCCCATGGCTAGTCTAGATGGTGGCCTTCTAACAAATTAATCATTAAAATTTAAATAAAAAAATTATTAATTTTTTAATTTTATTGACAATGATAAGAGTTTACAAAAAACAAGGATAATATATGGGCCTCGTTAAAACCTTGCTTGGAGAAGATTCAGTGGGACAAAACCTAAAACGAAGGAGAAAGAGTACATGTACAAAACCCCAAATGTTACCAAGCTTGCTGTTTGTGTGCATTTTTTGAAGAGCTTGCTGTTTCTGTGCTTGATATGCAGTACAAAATCGTGTTGCGTTTTGTGTTTTTAGAGTTGGAGACCAGCGTGTATGGCCCTACTTTTCTTTCTTTTTTAAGTTTGTTTTGGTACACCAAGTGCTTCATGGAATCATGGGCATCTGGCCTACAACTTTTTAAAAACAAATTATTTGTTGCAGCCGCATGGGTTTGTGTTTAGTTTGGTGTGCACATGCTGCTGTAGTATATATGTAATATTGTATTTGGTCTGATATATGCACAAGCTATATAAAAAATTTGTGTGCCCCTCTAACTATTGTGCGGCCCCGGGCTGTCGCCCAACCCCCCCTGTGCCACTCCCTATATTTAAAGCACGTTGAAGAAAGAAATGAAATTTTTTTATCATGTTGAAGGTAGAAGATGGATTACCGATGAAGAAAACTTATCCTATCTAATCCCCACAAAATCTATCTAATCCCCACAAAATGATAGAATATCAACACAAGTTATCCCTTCTAATCCCCCAAACTACAAAAATCATGCGCTTCTATCCTCATTTCCTCCAACATACCTTAGATTTAGTGTCTTTTCCAATCAAATCCAATCTTAAACACCAAACTAGCCCTTAATGCTTTATCTTGACTTTTGACTAATCACTGCATGGAAGTAATCCCTGTATCTGCATTAAAACAGAGCTGTGCCATGATAACTACAGAAATTATCTTCAGAGCCCCCTCCCCAAGAAAGAGTTAAGAAGAATACCAAACCTAGATACAATCTGAAACAAATTGTATAACCGCATCAACGTAATACTATTCTTATTGTTTTTGCAGAAACAACAACAAAGTAGAAGAAGTGAAACTATGAATGAACTGAAGGTGGTCGCTTCAGGAACTGAAGAATACAAGAAAGCCAAGCTGCCTAAAGATTTATTTTGGGAATTTGCTAATCATCAGTGCCAACTTCACCAGAGGTTACTGATTGAGGAGGGAAGGATCTGGCATCTTTCAAATGCAGTGCAGAAGAGGTAAATGCTTTTAAAGCCCTAGTTCCTTGAGCATGGTTTATTGTATTGTTGTACAAATATACAACAGCTGTAGTGAAAGTTATTATAATTGAGATTGCCTAGGGGACACCATGAAAAGCTAATTCTGACAAGCAAATGTAAACATTTCTTACCTGAGATTTTGATTAGTAAGAAATTAATATAAATATATATCCGAATGTACTTTTCTTTGTACTTAAAGTTTGATTTTTCTCTTCTCAATTTAGTTAATAGTTGCAAAATGATGATTCAAAGAGACTAGATTTAATACCACCTAGCTATTAGTCTGGTGGTATATCTCTCTGCAATGTCAGAAGTTACCAAAGTTTGAGTACCCCTCCCAAGAGATAAAAAAAAATTGCTCATTGCTCCACAGAAAAAAACTTGGTTAGTTGGTAGATCTGGCAAACTAGTAGTGTTTGTTGTATTCGTGTCAACTCACTTTTTTTAACGAATTAACACAACATGACTCATTAAGTTAACGAGGTGGAAAATAACGAACATGAATATGACCCGTTAAAATAATGAATGACACAACACGACTCATTGCACACGTTAAGAATATAAAAATAAAATAAAAATCAACTAGATAAGAGTTGGGGGGAGGAATGAGAAGAAATGATGAGAAAAAAGAAAAAGAAAAATAGAAAGATATATAAAATTGCAAAACTACCCCTACTCTTAATGGGTGATAAAGAGTATTCGCAAATTCACACGACATGACTTGTTAAGCATCGACCCAAATATTGATTTTTTTCGCGTGAATTCGTATCGTGTTAATGGGTCGTGTACAATATTGCCATGTCTATCTAGTGGAGTTGCAAGTTTAAGTTTCTCTCTTGACACTCCAAAATAATCATCATGCACTTCAAAATAGACTTAACCTTAATGCAATTAAGGATAAATGCTCTTAATCACTTGTCCTACTTTGTTTATCATATTTAACAATCAAAATTTTGACTTCTAATTGATGCTAATATAGTTTTCTCATATATTTGAAGTCACACTCAATCTCATTTATTTCTACAAATTATGCACTTGTCAGATTTATAAAACTAGGAAAAGCTTTTGATGATGGTTTTGTATTGTTGTCCCAATAATGTTAATTTTGAGTCATGGGTCTCTATACCAACTATACTAAATTAGTAATGTAAACACACCCACTTTTTTTCCAATTCTTTGTCCTCACTCTCTCGCATTATGTGAGACTCAGATAATTGTGAAACTATGTAGGGTCCATTCTATATGAGAAAATTGAGATATGATGCTTATATAGCACTACTCATACGAGATAATTTCACAATATTTGAAATTTTTATTTTTTTTTGCCCAATTAGGAAGTACCATTTTTCTCAGCAACCATCAAGCATAATGTAGCGATGCTATTTATATTTAATCACAATTTTGCTATGCATTACAACATCATCTATTATATAAAGGGAGTTGATTTCCCCACTTCCATTTTCTCCACTTACACTCCCTTTTACTTTGTAATACTTTTTAATAAATTTTGTTTTTTCTCTTTCCTATTCTATCATTACCCTACATTAATTTATTTTCTACTTCACTTTTATATTATTTCTTTTTCTTTGTACTTACTTTTCTAACTTACACTCCATTTTCAATATTAAAGGGGAAAAAAAAAACTTACTTTCTTACTCGATTAAAGGAAAAAAAAACTGAAAATAGAGTGCAAGTTGGAAAATTAAGTATAAAGAAAAAGAACTAATATAAAAATGAAGTAAAAAGAAATTAATATAGGGTAAGGGTAGAATAGGAAAGAGAATGAACAAAATTGATTAAAAAGTATTAAAAAGCAAAAGAGAGTGTAAGTGGAGAAAAAGAGAGTGGGGAAATCATATCCCTATATAAAAACCCCAAAAAAAAAAAAATTACAAAACACCATTCCATTTAAAATGACGAATATGATAACATATTAAACTAAATAATTAACTATATATATATATATATATATATATATATATATATATAAATTATATCCAACAAAATTTCTCGTTTTAAATTTTTACTTTTTTATACTAGTTTTTGTTTAAACTTCCCTATTTAGAAGAAGGAATTGAACATTGCATAGAATTTTTAAATGACGCAATTGAGATCCCCATCATTTAAATTTCTGGCAATTAATAATTTCAGTGTTTGAATTTATGTATGTCGAATTTTGTAAATGTCATAAATTATAGTGAAAAACGAATTCCTGCTTAATAGAAATGACACCTCTTTTGGTAGAAATTAAACTCGGAAATCTACATCCCCAATTTTCACGATTTTTTTAAAATAAGTTCTATGCTTGCTTAAGTTGCCAAACAAAGGAATTATCAATTTCTCCTTTTTAGTTTCTAGCTTTTAGCTAAATCCTGATTTATTTTCTCCATCCAAACGGAGAGTAATTAATCTAATATGTGGAAAATGAGGTTTAGAAAAATTTCTTATAAATAAAAAAAGGTTAATCAATTTTGAGTCCCTCAATTTCCAAAATCGTTCTCGTGGTCCTTCAACTTTAGTTTCGTTAGGACAAATGGTCATGCCGGCAATTTTGTTAACTTTTCTTTTAAATGTAGGGGCAAAATAGTATTTTTGTATCAAAATTGATTAACATATGAATAAAAAAATTAAAAAACTGAAAAATTAAAATTAAACTCTCTCTCTCCCCTTCTATCCCGATTTCTACTCCCCCCAAACTTGATTTTTTTATTTGATTTTCTTTTATTGTTATTTTATAGATATGATTTTTTTAATTCATTTTTTTGGTTTTAATATAAAAATATCATTTTCCCTTGCATTTAACAGAAAAAGTTAACAAAATTGACGGCAAGACCATTTATCCAAATGAAAGTGAAGTTAAATGACCATGGGAACAATTTTGAAAATTGAGGGACTCAAATGCAAATCATTTCTAAGTTCAGGAATTAATAAAACGATTAACCCAGTAAAAAATAGAAAGATCATAGTAACCTTAATTAGTAATGGTTAAGTGAAATTCACAGTGGGGCCTATTCAATGACAGTAGAAGAACAAATGAAACGACTCATTAGCAAAGTGCGCTCGAAAACGGCATAGTTAGCAGAGCTTCTTTTGTTTTTCTGGTCAGGACCTTTAAGAGAGAAAAGACAAAAACAAGAAACGAAACGGCAAAAGCAAAGGCAGAGCAGAGAAGCGAGCCAAAGAAAGAAGGGAACTCTGATTTTCTGTGAGAAAGGTGGCCTACGAATCGTGCGGTGGAGGTGATGGAGTTCAAGTCGTACAAGGACGACGCCTGGTACGACGTGCGCATAGAGACGGAGAGCAACGGCGACAGTGGCGGCAATGGCCGGAGACTGAGGGTCAAATTCTCGGGGTTCGCTGACGAACACGACGAGGTCGTCGACGGCAAGGACTTGAAGTCGTTTAAAGAGGTCGACTTTTTGAGGTGCCGGTTCAGGCCCATGTCGGTTCAGCTTCAGGACACAGAGTGTTCTCAGGTGCACAAGGGCATGAGCGTCTGCGCCGCGCACTCTGCTTACCCCGATGATCGGCGCTTCTACGACGCCGTTGTGGACGGGGTTAGCACTTCATTTCCTCTCTCTCTCTCTCTCTCTCTCTGGTTATGATTTTGTTTTTTGTTAAATTATGAACTTGATTAGCTAATTAATCTAGTGATTATGATGATGAGGTGGTGCGTAATGAGCATCGATTTGAAAATGGCGAAGAGCAATGCACATGCAGCTTTATCCTTTCATGGAAGCACGGTCCTTATTACGGGTCATTGAGTGAACAGGCTCTTGAGAACATTTGCAGAGTCCAGCCTCCTCTTGCTGTTGACAAATTGGATCCCCTGCTCGCCTCTTTTCTAAACTCAGCCAGGAAGAAGGTTCAAGCCACTGGCTTTTTTGATTCAGGTGCAAGGTCTCAACGTTTAAAACAGGCAAGTTTCTTTTTTTCTTTTGGTGTATAAATATGTTCAGCTTTTGATTATTGTTGGAATATGGCTAAAATTTATGTTTGAGTTTATAGGATTCTTTTTTTTTTTTTATATATAATTATTGTTGATGGTTTTTTTTCTGGGGTGCAAATGGTAAGTCCATATAAAAGACTGTTAGGATGTATTTAATAGTGTGAATGATTAATGTAAGAGGAACAAGAGTTTTGTTGGAAGAGTGAACAAAATTTGACTAAAAAAGAGAGTTGAGGGCCTTTGGTGTTCTTGAACTCTGGTTGTGAGGTTGAAAGTTGTGGGAAATTCTGGTAGTTCTTTGGTTGGTAGTGAGTCCATTGATGTCGACCAGTTAATCGAATATCTGGTTGTGAGGTTGAAAGTTGTGGGAAATTCTGGTAGTTCTTTGGTTGGTAGTGAGTCCATGGATGTCGACAAGTATATCGAACATCTTAGGCTTTTGGCATCTAACAGTAACTTTGAGTGGTCCATCTTGTCTTTACATGTTAGTTGGATACTTCTGCTATATGGTTTGGGTGATTTATGTGGGTTTTTTCATATGAGCTCGTCTGTTCGTGTGTAGGAAACAAAGCTTGCCAGGTCGACCTCAAGTCATTTAAAAGGTTTGAACTGATTTGCTTAAGCTTTTCCAAAATGCTTTTTTATTTATTTAAATCTTTTACTGTTTTTCAAAGGCAGAGATTATTGGAAAGTCTAAACTTGTGACCTATCTGTATATATTTTGAACAAACAGGAGATGACGTAGATATCGGAGGAGTTCCTCATATGATAATCATTGACAATCTTGAGAAGGGGATATCACCATCAACCATTATGGAATTTATTCATCACCACCTTTCATTCCCATGTCAAGCATTTGTTTCGCCCAGTAGAGTTTTAGAGTCATATGCACGAGGAGCTATCCTGTTGCACAGCAAACGGAACTTTGACAAATTATCTGCCTTTTTGGAGAATCCAGATCACATCATCATTTCCTCAAGAGGAAGGTATATAGTGTAAAAGTCTGTTTCCAGTAATTATAAATCATACAAAATTGTCAATCTTAAAATGGTATTGTTCCAATGTATTTATTGGATAAGTAAGTAAAAGATCTTGCAGCCTTTGTGTAATTTAAACAGCCAGCTGGAACCTGGACGTAATTTTTGGAGTCCAGAACCTTTAGCTCTATTCATTGATTTGTTAAGTTTATCGTAATTTTTAGTTCTCTGCAGGCCTTGGTTAATGACTGAAAAAACACCAGTACATGACACACACATGGCATTGATTGAAACCTTCAGGCTCACATCTCGGGTTAGTTTCCTATCATTTTTGCTGTGTTGTGGCTAATGGCTTATAAGATGAAAGCTCTGTGTTAGATCATATCCTGTTATTTGATTCTATAAAATGACGATTCACCCTCAGGCCCTGGAGTGTTTTTTTGGGCAATGTACCAGTTTTGGCTCACTTTTAACCACCTAGATCCAACACTGGGTCTGGCCAAGCCCAATGGACTCGTTAGATGTGAGGTTTTATTTGAAAATGTCTATGTGCTTAGATTTTTATGTGAGCTTTTATTGATGTGAGGTCTTATCTCAAAATGTCTATGTGCTGTTAGTACTAGATCACTTAACTTATATTGTAGATTGTTGTATCACCTATTGTTGTGGGATTAACTCCATCCACACTTGTATCGAAAGTGCAACATGTTTCAAGCATGATCATTGCAAACACCCCCATAATTTATTGATTTTATATAATAGTTTGTATTGGCTAATCAGTGCTTGGAAACAATCCTTGTATCTGCACTAAAACACATAATGGGTTAAGCCATACATTACATGACTTACCTAACGTAATCTTTGCATTCTCCTGAGAAAGAGATGGAGGAGCATGCCAAAACCTGATAGAATAAAAAATGACTAGTATAAAGCACCAAGTTTCCTCTGAAAGTACTGCTACTGTCATTGATTTTGCAGAATGTGCAACAGACTAGAAGAACTGGAACTTGCAATGAATTGAAGGTTGTCAATTCTGGGACTGAAGAGTACAGTACGGCTAAGCAGCTAAAGGATTTGTTCGAGAGACTTGCTAATCATATTTGTAAGCTTCACCAGAGGTTAGTCATTGAAGAGGGTAGGATCTTACAGCTACCTGATGAGGTGTAGAGGTGAATTCAGAGCTTGTGAATACTTTTTGTTATGTTGTACAGATGTGGCTAGCTGTGAGAAGGCTATCATAATTGATATTTGCCCGCACGCAGATTCCACGAAAAAGCTAAATGTGACAAACAAATGAGACACTTCTGACATCTCATACCTGTGTAGGCTGGGTCAAGGTACATTGGATATACTGGACATTTTGATATGTTAACAAGAATAGGTTCATCTTAATGTAATTTGTCTGTGTACTTGAAATGTGATGTGTCCTGAACTTTTCGTTGTGGCATATAAACATCCTTTCCAGATTATAATGTGCTTGTGCTGTAATTGGAAAATGAAGACAACATCCCTAGTGCACGTAAGCGCACACATACGAGCGTAAATTTGTTGTATGAGCTAGCGCATATGCTTTGAGAATCAGAAAAATGCCATGCCAATAGTTTCATATTGGTACGAGTATCCTTTCTGTTGTGGTAATAACCTTCTTTTAGTTTTTCCCTCTGGGGCAGAAAAATATTCCTCTCATGGAGAGAAACTCTCATGCAACGGGGATGGTACTTTTTGCTTTCCCTAGCCAATAACACAATGACATGTGGAATAACTTTACTACGTATCATTATGTTGCTGACTGGGATAGCAAAATAATGATATACTCGTTACAAGTTTTTATCCTACACTTGAGCCACGAATATCCGTCCATGAATTTCTGCAGACTTTAGAGTGGACTTTCATTTGCCTCTCATCGATAGTGGACTTTAATTATTCTACTTATTTTCAACTGTTATCTTGCAACCTCTTCTATGTTAATAAAAGGAAATATCTCAAGGAAAGAAGAAAAAAAATTGTTCAACGTTTTTTTAATTTAAAAAACCCCCAAAGCAAGCGTGTAGCAAGTGCAACTAGCACCAAGGGGATGATAATAATGAAAAGGGCATATCTATTTAAATCTGCTAGGACCCGAAAGTATTGACCTTGCCTTAAGGATTATTATTATTTTTTTTTTTTGTCTGAACCACGAGGTGGTCCTTGATGGGCCCCAACTATGGGTGGCACCTTTAAGCCTTAACCACAACCCAGACTAATCCCCGCTCACACCGGGTCGGCCCGTAAGGGGTAAAGTGTTGGCCAAAGTGGTGACTCCATACGAGAGCGGGGATCGAACTCCTGACCTCTCTTAAGGAATGAGAGTGCCGAACCACTCACACCAACCACCTTGGTTAGGATTAATTATTTCAAACCACTACACTAGTGGGTGTTTTGCAAATCCTTGAATTATTTGAGTGATTAGTTATTTCTTTGGGTTAATCGTTTTATTAGTCCTTGAACTTAGACTCGATTTGCATTGAAGTCCCTCAATTCCCAAATTCGCTCCCGTGGTCCTTTAACTTCACTTTCGTTAGAATAAATGGTCCTGCCGTCAATTTTGTTAACTTTTTCTATTAAATGTAGGAGCAAAATGATATTTTTATATTAAAACCAAAAAAAGAATAAAAAATTATATCTTTAAAATAACAATAAAAGAAAATCAAATAAAAAACCCAAAAAAAAAGAAAAGGAAAATCAAGTTTGGGGGGATTAGAAATCGGGATAAAGGGGGAGAGAGAGAGTTTAATTTTAATTTTTAAGTTTTTTAATTTTGTATTCAAATTTTAATCAATTTTGATACAAAAATAGCATTTTGCCTCTGCATTTAACAGAAAAGTTAATAAAATTGACGGCAGGATCATTTGTCCTAACGAAACTGAAGTTGAAGGACTACAGGAACGATTTTGGAAATTGAGGGACTCAAATGTAAAGCAGGTATAAATTCAGGGACTAATAAAACGATTAACCCAAAAGTCTTTTATACCTCAACAACCTTTAATTTTATTTTTGAAACAATCCTAAAAATAATATGGTTAAAACCAATCGCCATGGCAGAAAAAGGGAGGACAAATTAATGACAATGCAAATCTAACCTTGCCCAAAACAAAACGTTAATTTTTAATTCCAACAAAAATGAATTCTTGGTGGTATTTGATTTCGCAGGCTCACAGCCGACGTAAGAGAAATACATGACTTTTTCCACCTGTCAAGCATAATACGACGTGGGGGTTTCCTATTGGCCAGTGAATCAAGTTATTGAATCACACCCCGCCATGCTGGCTCAGTTGAAAGACAACTAGGAAACGACGCCGTCTCGAGTACCTTATGCTGGTCCAACAAGAACTGCCGTGGCCCGACAGCCTAGTTTGAGTTCGGCACTTCCCAAATCCCAGTTCATCCTAAATCCCGAGTTCTTTCAAACCTCACTCAAACACAAATCCACAGCCCATCTTCTGCTCCTGCGTATCAACAATTTCAGAGGTAATAATTCTGCTTCTTCTTCTTCTTGATCTACGCATTTACATGTACAAATAACTATTTGGGCAATGATTTTTTGGAACTTTTACTCATTGATCGTTGATTTTTTTATTTTTTATTTATTTCTTTTGGTGGGTTGAATTTGATGCTTAAACAGTAGAGATGGAGTTGTGGGTCAGGGGACACGTGGCACTGGGTTTGGCGCTGATGGGTTTGCTGGTTTTGTGCCAAATGGAAGGGTCAGATGGGTTGAGGTTCGTGATAGATAGAGAGGAGTGCTTCTCTCATGATGCAAAGTACCAGGGCGACACCATTCACGTCTCTTTTGTTGTCATCAAAGTTGATTCGTCTTGGCATAACACTGAAAATGGTGTTGATCTTGTGGTAAGCTGTTTAATTTCTTCTTCTTTTTTTTTTTTTTTTTTGTAATTTGTTGTGGCCAAATTGTTTGCTTTTTTCAGAACTTTTTCTGTTTGATCTTATTGTTGAGCAAGTTCCAATGGATTGTACTGATTTGTATTGTTTTTTTTGCCTTGGAAACTTGATTTTTTTGAATAGTGTATAAAGATTGTGGATTTCTGTTTATGAAAATGGGAGATAGAATATATAAATTAGAATGTTGGTGTTTTTTTTTGGTTACTGGTTTAAGCAAAAGTTATAAGACAATCCAAGTTGGTTTTTCAATTAGGACATTGCTGTTTATTGAATAACATAACAATGGTAATAGTGGCAATCAATTTCCGTAGTCTATCATTTACCTTGGAGCTTTGTTTCCAATATCTCCAGATAAAGGGGCCTTCTGGTGAACAAATTAATGACATACGTGACAAGACGAGCGAGAAGTTTGAGTTTGTGGTTCAGAAGCAAGGTGTTCACCAGTTCTGCTTCACTAATAAATCTCCTTACCATGAAACCATTGACTTTGATGTACATGCTGCTCACTTTACTTACTATGACCAGCATGCTAAAGATGGTGAGTGTCCATTACTTGTTATTCCATTTCCTCCCCGCAGTTTGTTTCGAAATTAATCTTCTTTTTAGCTGAAGAGTGATCACTGAATGTTCTGTGAATCTATGCAGAGCATTTTGCACCCTTGCTGGAGCAGATAGCGAAATTGGAGGAAGCCCTTTACAACATCCAATTTGAACAACATTGGTTAGAGGCCGAGACTGACCGCCAAGCAATAGGTATTATTTGAAGAACCGTCTTTTCTATGTCAAATTTCGATTTCTTTTCCTTAACATTAGTGGGAGTGTAAACTATTTTAGTTTCTAATGAGTATGATTCCAACTATGGTACTTCAAGAAGTACATCATTTTGCACTTGCATTGGCATGCCACGCATGTGCACATGAAACTAATATGGTGATTAGTCAAGCTTTATCTGGGCATTGTCCCCTAATCTTGGAATATATGTTGACATATTATATAACTGGCCTGCAGTGAATGAAGGAATGAGCCGCAGAGCAACCCACAAGGCGTTAATTGAATCAGGAGCACTCATTGGAGTTAGCATCCTCCAAGTTGTTCTCTTGAAACGTTTGTTTGAACGCAAGCTTGGATCATCTAGGGTTTAGATCAGTTGTCTACTTACCTTTGCCTATTTACTGATTGTAATATTAGAAAATGGAAAATATTGATATTGAAATATCACAAAACAGAATCTGTACCATTCACAGGAGTTAATGTTTTAAAGATGGTCTTTTTGATTACTGTCAGCCTATTTGAGTTGATTATTGTCATTGATACTTGAATCGATTTTTGGAAGCAAATTTGATGCCTTTTGATGGATTTGTAAGATCATGTTGTGGTGTCAGTCAGTTGAGGCTGCCTCAAGGTGGACATTGGTTTGTATGGTAAAAACAGAATACTATCCAATTCAATTTTGTGGGGCATCCATTTGAACAGTCCAGCTCACCTGAGGACCTAGGAAGACCTCTTTAACAAAAATCCTTGATTGATCCAATGAATGAAATATTAAGGGTTGTTTGAGTAAAACAAAGTGTAAAAGATGTGAAGGGTTGTTTGAGTAAAACCAAGAGTATGAGTGAATGTTAAGCCGACTTCGAATTCATAAGAGACCAAAGTATGCTCCTATTAAACGATCACTAGAAGAAGCCACTTTCAAGCAAAATCAACGGAGTAACTTCCCAACTCGGGGACAGTTGAAGGGGGAAAAATTACTTCATATAAAAGAAAACAGAAAGCCTCACATTGCACAAATATGCAAATACACTCGCAACGAAACTCAAACTGAATCGAACACAGGAAACAAACAGTCACGATAAACTCAGAATCAAGCATTGATTCAAAAGATAAAGCTACATGCAAATATAGTTCACCAGTATACATAAACGTAAAACAGTATCATTTTCCAATCATACACGTCCCCAAATAAGCCCACATTTCTACCAATGTTCATAAAGACAGCAAACAGATTCCAGCAGGACCAATCACGGCTTCTGAACACAGCTCCAGTCTTCTGGAATATATATCGGCATGGGGGCATAACTAGATAATAATATCTCCCGTAAAGTTTATGACATGGTAGGTGCCTCCTCACGATTCCGCACACAAGCAGCAAAACCATTTCTTCTACAAATCAAAGCACAAAAACTGTCAAAATCTAATCATTATATCCCTTTTGAAGCTATCATGTAGCTTAAGACCACAATATCTTTCTTTTTCTTTTTGGTGCGACATTAGTTGGACATCATTTGACAATGAAAGATGAGCGGCTTACCAAAATGAAGATGGTAAAATTTGGCAAGTGAAAAGATGGAAAGGTAAACAAATACATTTGCAAAATCAACAGGTGGCACGCAAGTGAGCATGGGAAAAAAAGAAATTGGTTTAATATGCTTCAATGGTGTGGAATGTGGACTAAGGTGAA